ACGTTTTGTCCAGACAGAGGTTTAATACTTGCACTTTTACAACAACAACCCAGTGCAATTTCAGCAATTCTCATGGTGGCATCTTTTTTTTACGAGTGGATATTAGACACAATCTATCTGTTGCCATGGATTCTACTAGATGCTTTAGGATCCCTGGCTATGGCTGTTATAGCAACATGAGGGGTGAAAATGTAAGGCATGAGCGAAACAAGCCTTGCTGGATCGCCATTACACTCTCAGTTGCACGACTTAAAATAACAGTTGTTTCAGCCAAAACTAGCATGACTTTTGCAGAGTCTGAGTGAACTGAGATACAGTGAAAGCATTTGTGTGTGTGTGTAAAAGGTGAGGGGGAGGCTGAAAAGCGTGTGTATATAAATGCATCTCAAAATAGATTCAGAGCTAAAGATTTCAATCAGACCTATTGTTGATTGGTTGTCACTGCCGCCCCAGCGATGATTAAATTTAATGCTGTGCTTCGTTGCACACAGTTCAGTTTAGCTCGGTCAGATAATTCCCTTCATTTAAATGGCTCTATTAATAGATGGCTATCTTACAAAATGCCAACCAAATGTGATTTCAAGAAAAGTACTGTTTCGTAATCTGTTCACCAGCAGTTAGTCAAGTACATTTTGAGACATATAGTTGAAATCAAAATTATTAGCCCCCCCACTTTGAATCTTTTTTTTTTCTTATATTTAAATATTTCCCAAATGATGTTTAACAGGGCAAGAAAATGTTCACAGTATGTCTGATAAAATGTTGTCTTCCAGAGAAAGTCTTTTTTTATTTCGGCTAGAATAAAAGCAGATTAAAAAAAAAAAAACATTTTAAGGTTAAAATTATTAGCCCCTTTTAGCTACATTTTTTTTCGACTGTCTTCTGAACAAACCATCGTTATACAATTATTTGCCTAATTACCCTAACCTGACTAGTTAACCTAATTAACCTAGTTAAGCCTTTAAATGTAATTTTAAGCTAAATAATAGTGTCTTGAAAGTCATCATGGCAAAGATAAAATAAATCAGAAATTAGAGATGAGTTATAAAAACTATTATGTTTAGACGTGTTGAAAAAAATCCTCTCTCTGTTAAACAGAAATTGGGAAAAAATAAACAGGGGGACTAATAATTAAGGAGGGCTAAAAATTCTGACATCAACTGTATGTACTAAAAAAGGTGGTTTTGATGGCCGGTCCACTGGTTATCATATTTTTTGTATTAATTCTCACACATTTTTTCTTTTATTTAGGTACTATAGGCTTCTTTGCCTGCTTCTTCTTTGTAAATAAAATCTACAGTGTGCTGAAAGTGGACTAATGGAGGGACGTTTGGAGAACACAACATCGCCTTGTTACAGATGGACTTCATGTGGAAGTCTGAAGATACATTTGAAGAAAGGGAGAAGTCGACGGCAGTCTTCTTCCCTCTCCTCTTCTCTGTATGGATCAGCTGTAATTCCCTGCAGTAGGTGTGCGTGTGAACTCCAAAGACCTTTTCAGTGCTTTACTTGCCTCACATTGGCTTACTTTATTTCCAGATAAAACTTGAGCGCATATCTTATGTATAAAGTGCATTTATATTGACCTAATTGTATCTCTTTCTTACTTTGTTTTAGTAATCGTTTCAATATTTAATTCAACTATTCCTGTTCATCTTTTGTTTGTCTCGTTTTCTTTTTAAGCTGGGGTGCAAGTTTTAGGTTGTGTGTGCACTAAAGTGTTTTTAGTGAGCTTAAACACACCCTGGCTATTCTGAAGGCAAGTGTCTATAGGCACTTTAGTAGCTTTTTCTTTTAGCATTAGTTGCTATGATATAATCTTACATGGACTTATTTTAAGACTCAAGGCAAAAATGTCTGGAGGACTCTTTTTGCAGCTTTCATTGGCCAAAGACTTGCCGGAGTCCACGTTACTGATAAATCAACCAATTACAATTTTGTAATGAGTCATGATAGGGTCATAACAATGTAGCAAACACATTCTTTTGAAAACGCAGCTATTAGATGATTATGATAAGTACTAATAAGCATAGTTGTAAACGCAAAGATTTTCTTCTTCCATATAAAAGGTTTTGCTATGTGATGGGTTTGTACCCACACACACACACACGTCTACTGGGAATTCTACAGAATTCATCCACAAAATGGGTTATATGCACAGTTAGGGTTTTTCAGCCAAAGGTAAACTTATGGTTAAAGGTTTCTGTGACTAAATTAAATTTTATAAGGTTTCTTTTACAGTATCAACATCGTAATGTAATTAATACACAGTTAAATAAACTTAAGCATTTTAGTTGTTTAAGTGTAAAGCAAGCAGACAGACCATGTAACCACCAGAACCAGCACGCTAGCACAGAAACTCCATTCAAAATACTGAGGTAAAATAAATGTTCATATTTTAAAGGGATGGCAGGGAGAAATGTAATTGAATGCAGTGCTTTTTGTCCGGTCTGAGACTCGCTTTATATCAATTATCTATTAGGCAGTGAAGATCACAGATTTTTAAAGAAAACAGATCTTAAACGTGGCAATTTTGAAATAGAAAGTCAGTTCACCGGAAGCCAGCGGGCTGGCTGGCTAAAAAGTTGAAGTCTGTGTGCATATACCCTCATTGACAACTTTGAAACTCAAAAGTGTTTACCATTTTGTGTGCCATATATGTCAGTAGTTCAGTCAGTGGTCTATGAAGGTGAGTGTTTTGAAATGCTCATCAGATTAGAGTTTATGAATTTGATGACCACAAATGATGCCCACAATGGCAGCATATTAATCATTCGATTCTCTGTAAATCTTATTTGTTGCTTTTATTTTTCTTTCTAAAATATGATGATGTGGAATGGTTAAGCTTTAAATGTTGTCAATATAGAATGGCCAGGCAATCTCTTGCTAACCAGGGAACAAATTAAACAAGTTCATTATGTCATTTGTAATCAGTAACAGACCATTATGAAGGATAACAAGTCTTTATTGGCTGTGAAATTTCACCCAAAAATGTGTTTATATTTAGTGCAGCTTTTTCAAAATTTGTTTTTGAAATCCAGAATTTCACAAAATCCACACACAGACTTCATTCAAAATCACAGCACTGACTTACAAAAGCTGCTTGGTTTGAGTTATCACTGTGTTATAAGATATATTTATTTTTGACAATGCTTTCATTGTCTATCAATTTCGTTTCATCTTAAGTTGCTCATTTGGCCTTTAAATGAGCTTTTTCCCAGCAAAATCAGAAATGCTCTCCACACTTACTGTGTACATGTTCATGTATAATTGCTGTATTGATGACAGAAAACTGCATGCTTTTTAGCCTGTGAGATTTGGCTAATGTGAGCGCACCTTTAGGCATGTAAAACCACACCAAAGTATATTGGTGGATATCAATAATAATCGTTACTATGCCATTGACAGCATATCACTACTTTATTCCATGTGTTAATCATTTTATCTCACTGAGGAATTGTTTTTTATGGAGTGAAGGAAATTGGTTTATGAAGCACATTTTTACTATGTTTTTTTTATACAATAATATCTAAATAATGGGGTTGAGATTTTGTACTTTGTAAGTTATTTAAATGTCACAACTTAAAAAACACACACATGCTTGCACATTTTTGTTCTCAATCATTTTAATTTAAAACTCACAGAATGTACTGAGCTTCATCAGGTCATATGAGGTATACATAAACATTCTTCACCATGTTGTAATGAAGGAAAAAAATAATAATAAAGCACAAAGTACATCATTACAAAAATGTCTACTTCTAAACTCTTGTTTTTTAAATATAAAACAGTCAGCTATAGTAAACATATGATGACTTGTTTGCGGTTCTGTTTGTGAAAGTCTGATTGTTGCTGCAGACATCAATGGAAACTGACATACAGTTGATATTTTCTGTAATTTGTATTGCTGCACTTTCAAAATAATACTTTGCTGTAGCAGAAGGAATTGCGGCTTTGATACACAGTTGACTTCTGAATAACCCAGGAATTAATAACGAAGCACCAGCTGTACCATTTTGTGCAGGGTCAAGCTAAGTGCATGGTCAATAACAAAGTGCTTCATCATTCGTGAAGTCATCGTTTAATCCCGCATCAAGTCAGCGGTTATATAATATATTGGCAGTGCCAGGGGATCGAACAACTTATACCAAACAGACACAAAGTACAATTTATCGAGGGAGGCACTCTTAAAGAGAGCTGACTCTCAACACTGGTCAAGAGGTACATCATCAATACCCTGAGATCCGTAGCTCATTAGCTGCTCTTGGGTGAATCTCCAGGTCACATTTCACCCAAAAATGAAAATGAAATAAAGTATATTTGATTACTTAAAGGCAGTTCAGCAAATACTAGCATGATGTATAAATATCTCGAGTTAAATGTCCTGTTGAGTTAAAAGTATTTTTTTTTATTATAATACAATAAATAAAATTATTGTATTTTTTTTCTAAACAGGCTCATTGAAAATATGTGCCACAGCCTACATTTTATTTTGTAAAACTTTAAAAACGTACTTCGCTAGACTGTAGTTTCTAGATAGAAACTACTACAGGGCAGTGTGATGTTACAGGGACATATTTTTCATGAATAAAGGATTATTTTCATGTGGTTTCATGCACAAGAATAAAAAAATAACACAAACCACCTTAGCTATGTCCATAATTTGTAATCTGATTCATTTGCCTCAACTTTCTATCTACATATGGACAATTGCTCTGGTTTGGTCAGTTTGCTCGATAGCTCACTTTGTACGATGTTGTATTTGTGATGCAAAGCTCTTGGTTTCGAGTCACTAAAGCACATTTCCCAAGAGAGATAAAAACAATGCAAAATCAAGGTAAAACTCAGTGCAATCTTATGGCAATTCATAACTGTTTGATTTGGTGGCCGATCACACAAAATGCACTTTTCCATTCTGGGAACACAAGGTGCACCACACTGCCATTAATTGTTGACACATGTTTTTTTTTATGTCACTAGGCAACCACAGAATCAGCTGCGTATTGTGCGCGAGCATTGCTGTTGATATTGTTGGAATTGTAATATTTAATAATATTGGGATGTTCAAAATTTATGAAGCCATATAGTGACCACTAGTCTCTCCATCTTTAAAAGTCTCTGTTGTTATCAAGACAACATTTACACTACTGTCAGCTCAACAGAAACCCTGCCCTCGACTGACCTAATTTGCTTTTTCAGTTTTTTGCAATTGGGGGCGCAAAGCATGCAACGACAAAAACCCGAGGTGCAGCAGGCTATAAAAATTCGCTAAAGGTCTGCATTCCCACAGCTGTACTGCAGGACATGACCAAATTTCTTAACGCATAGGAATACATTTCCGAATAAAACGCAGTAGGGCAGGCTAACAATACAGCATTTTCAAGTCCCAACAATATTTCGGAATAGCATATCTGTGATTTCCTCATGCTTATTGAGCACCGGTACAGCCAGTACGACTGTTACACATCCTGAAAGCATAACCAGTGCTTTTCTCCACATGCTTTTTTTTTACATTCTGTGCGTACATCATCTGAATAACAGTCCTCAGAGTGGGCTTTACTAACATGGGAGAGCAGAGTGAAGATGTGCTGTTTTTCAGCTTGCATTAGAAAACGGTCAGTTTACTGTAAGGAAACCCACATCAGGCAAGTCTGAAGTATGGGAGTTTTTTTAAGCGCAAATGGAAAAAATGACCCTTTGTGCGATGGGATAATGCCTCAAGGTTTTACCCTTTAGCAGTCACAAGACTGGAACCTCAGCTTTAAAGCGGCACCCATATCTCATCACAAAGGGAAAAACAAAACTGATATTTAGCCAATAATCCTTGCACAACTTAAAATTTGATCTGTTCTCTTTCACTTTTGGTAGTACCCAATTCAAACGTGAGATTTTGGAAACCAGATCTAAATTTAGTGTACGGGTAGGGTAGAAAATGATTCCAAGCGGGCAGTAGGTGAGCAAAGGCTGAATATACAGTGGGAGCGGTCGGCTGTGGAATAAAACTTTGCGAGAGCAAAAAAAAAAGTGTCCCGCGCAGACCTCTACTGTAAGAGCACGCAAAACTCACAGCGATTAGAAAACCATTCAAAAGCTTTCCCACAACACAAAAAGTGCATTATGTGTGATCAGGGCCTTAGTGGCTAATTCATATTAAATTCTTTGATTTGCTCATTCCTCAATGAGAAGTATGGTTTGCTCCTTTTAAACAGGTTACGTTTTTTTATATGAATGAAATCACTTTTCTGGCAACACGTTAAATAATTACACTTCCTCGTAAAATCAGACTGGTAAAACTACCTGGTTGCAGTGCACATTTCTATTATGGTTAAAAACTTGGGTTTGGTGAAGGGTTACGATAAGCTCTGTCTTCTCATAGACTTATACAAGAAGGACTTGCTTCTAAAATGTATAGCAAAATTTACCCAAAGTAACATTTCTGGTGGATTTGACCTCTAAAACGTGCAACAAAATGTACCAGGCACAACATGTTTTATGATTTGCAAAAAGGTAGGCTGAGGCAAGTATTTTTAAAGAGTCTGGGATGCAAAAAACAGTCCAAGGGTGCACATCTAGTATGCAAAAAGTGCAATGTGAGTGCACCACCACAAAAAATATGAACCTAAAAATATGTTAAAAATCAAAGCAGGCACCACATTATGGTCATGAGAATTGGTTGATAACATTTTTAATAGCCTGAAAATAAGCTTAATATTTCTAATATACAGTGGAGATCAAAACTAGAAAACAACCTACTGTTTCTTACATTTGATGTCACTGCTTGATCAAGTTTGACGTTTTGGTTGTAGGAATTAAATAGCATTTTTAGCATAATTCATGAGTTATGAAGCACAGTAAACAATCTGATAAAATATTTAAAGAAGAATACTGATCAAACTTAAGAGTACACCTCCAGATTCCTCACAGTTAGTGGTGTTAATCTGGAGCCTCCTGGTAATTTCCTTAATTATCTGATAAACCCTTTGCAAGATGGTGAATTGTTTTAAGCATCTGAATGTCCAGATCAGATGATGACCAATTTGAACTATGAAGAAAGATTGTATTTTTCTAAAAGGTCAAGTGTATATTAATTGTCCTCTAATTTAGAACCTCCTCCTGTATATACAGTATATCTACAAAATACTAAATAAAATAATGACACTTTTTTACACTTTAAAAATACCAAAAGAAATACATTTAATAACAGACTCATACTTTAAAGTTGATGAGATTCATCGCTTAAGTATTATTGGTGCATTAACTATAAATGAATAAATAAATAAATACAATTTTACAGTTTACACTTTTAAGGAGAACTTTTCTTCCAGTGACAATGATTCAGTTGATATGTATGCTTAGAAAAATAGACAGAAATCTCTCAACATGTTTTCTAAAATCTTTTTCAAAACAACAAAGATTACTTTGTCTTTAAAAGTATCTGTACATTTGACATTGATGTATACAAAGAACATTCATCTTTTAAGACATTATACACTACTATATATGGTCTCAAAAATATTTTCATCATTTTAATTAATATTTCAGTATTACAGTAAACTGCTAAATGAAACTCAATATTCTGTATGGAGCACTTCTACTGTATTTTTTTAATATTTTAAACCACACAGAAAGGTATTGAAATTTCATTTAATCAAATGATTTTTCAGATTTCTAGTCTGAATAACCATAACAGCGCAGTCAATTTTGAGACACTTTCCCATACACATACGCTAATGTTATTTTATTTTATTTTTTTGAGTATTCTCATATGCTCACCAAGTTTGTATTTACAGTTGAGGTCAGAATTATTAGCCCCCCTAAGATTTTTTTGTTCTTTTTTAAATATTTCCCTAATGATGTTTAACAGAGCAAGGACATTTTTACAGTATGTCTGATAATAATTTTTCTACTGGAGAAAGTCTTATTTGTTTTATTTTGGCTAGAATAAAAACAGTTAATTTTTTAAAACACCATTTTAAGGTTGAAATAATTAGCCCCTTTAAGCTATTTTTTTCAATAGTCTACAGAACAAATCATCATTATACAACTTGCCTAATTACCTAAACCTGCCTAATTAACCTAGTTTTAAGCCTTTAATTGTCACTTTAAACTGTATAGAAGTGTCTTATTTACTGTCATCATGGCAAAGATAAAATAAATCAGTTATTAGAAATGAGTTATTAAAACTATTATGTTTAGAAATGTGTTGAAAAATGTTAAACAGAAATGTGGGACAAAATAAACAGGGGGGCTAGTAATTCAGGAGGACTAATAATTCTGACTTCAATTGTTTTTGACTGCATTTACCTCAATAAAAACAGTAATACTGTAAAATGTTCTCACTATTTTAAAAACTACTGTTTCTATTGTAATATATTTTAATTGTATTTTTCAGCAGCATTCCAATCGTCGTACCACATGAACCTTCAGAAATAATGCGAATATGCTGATTTTCTGCTCAAAAAACATTTCTTATTGTTAAAAATGTTACATTTAATGCATTTTGCTGCATTTAAATGTTTTTAACTGTAGTGTAACCCTTGACTAAAAGATAATCTAGGCATTTTATCATCTTTACATGCATCTCCTTAGTTCCTACAAGGAAACATTGTTTGCTAAGCTTTTCAGTTGTCATCAGTGTTGTTTACTAATCATAAAGCACAGCTAACACATTAGAGCGGGGGTTTCCAAACTCAGTCCTGAATTGCCGGTGTCCTGCATACACTCTCAAAAATAAAAGTACAGGAGCAGTCAC